CATGGTGGGGCAAGTGGTAGAGGATCTTTGTTTTATGAGTGTTTTATAAGGCTCATCTTCTTGTACACCTCAATAAAGGTGTTGAACTTGTCTTGGAGCTTAGCCTCTGAGTGAACACAATAGCTCCTGTTGGAGTGGAGCTAATCTACAGAACAACTGGGAACCTGTTCAACCTCTGCCAGCACCAAGGTCATGTCATTTTCGTTGTTGAACCACTGTATGGAGAGGATACCTGCATCTGTGCTTGAGATTGCCAGAGGTAAACTGTTAACACAGAAGCTGTGACAGAATCACTCAAGAAAATCTTAACATCAGGCATTCTGGACGAGGTAGTCTCAGGCAATAGTCCGCAGTTTGCAAATAAGCATTTCAAGACATTCGCACAAGAATATTATTTTGTTCATATCACAAGCCCGGGCGAGAGCTGAGATCGAGGGCTATGTCCCGCAGCAGCAGCAGAGCGAGCACGGGCTGAGTAATGCACTGAATCCTGGAGCATCGGCAGCAGAACACGCATGGGTCGGGCTGAGTCCTGGAGTGATAGATGGACAGAAATCCTGGAGCGATGGCAGCAAGGGAATCCCAAGTCCCTGAGTGATGGTAGCAGGAGAATTTCGAGTCCCAGAGTGGCACCCGGGGAATCCTGAGTCCTGGAATGGCACAAAGCGAAGTGAATCCCAGTACAGCGCAACTTACCTTGTTGCTACAGAGTGCTGGTGAGGAGCAATCTGGAGGCTGGAGTAATGTGGACCAGTCATTGGACTTGGGCCTGGTGCCACGTGCTGAACTATTGCAGTGTGAATTCTTTTTACAATGTTATAACTACCTCATTCCTAATTCATTCTCAGAACATTGTAAGTAATGCTACTGCTTTCATTTCAATCCCCTTTTGTATAGCAAAACTAATTTTTTAACTCTGTAAGATTTGTACCTAGGCACATGTACCTAAGAAGGTGCCATTAAAAGGCAGCCTTTGTAAAAACTTTTCGCTGTACTCCTGTACTTCTGTACTGGAGTACAAGTGACAATAAAGGATATCCAAATTCAAATTTGTAGTTCACTCCCACTATTCTCAAGCAAATGGAGAAGTTAAGTGACACATTGTCATCCAATTTCCATCAATGTCTATTTTTGTTATGGCTTCTTGACGCCAAACCCAAATGCTGGGTTGACGTCATGGGTAAACACTCTGACCTCGCCTATTAAACTGAGGTGCCTATTAATGTAGTTGAGATGGATTTTGAAGATCCCATGGCATTATTCAAAGAAAAGTATGGAATTCTGATGATATAATGTCCAACATCCTTCTTTTAGCAAACACCATAAAAGATAATCATGTCATGCATCTCATTGCTATTTGAGGGATCAGCTGAGAGCATAACGATTGCTCATTTGCTTACGTTAATAGTCATGGGCCTTCGATGTAGTTCATATGTGAAATGCTTTGAAATGTTTGGAAAGGTATAAGTGGGTGCCAATTTAAATGCAAATCTTTCTTTCTCTATAAATAATAATGTCAAGATACATTTTAATTTTTCCCTGAGATTTCCATAGCTACGCTGCATGATGCTGTAAAGATTTTTATTTATATTGCCAGGTAGATGGCAGGATTTTCAACACTAGCTAAAGTAAAGTGTATTTGCAAACTTTTATTCACCAAAGACTGCTCTATATTTACACATTTCAAAAGTCATCTACAGCACATCATCAAATAATTTTGGTGGCCTTTTATTATGGGTTGAGCAGCCTCTAATACTTGAATTATGTAAAAACAATGACCCCCCAGCTTTAACTTTATGATAAAATTGCAATGGGGCAACAAAATTCAATGCTGAGGTTATCCTTACATACCTAAATAGCAGTGTACTGTATAATAAATAAATCAACAGGCACATTGCAGAGATCAATGAATCAGGCTATTTTAAAATAAAACTAATAAAGCTTGAAGCTTTGAAGAAATGTTAACGTTTTGAATGCACAAAGCAAATAAATACCATCATTATGTTTTCAAACAGTTGCTAAACCTTAATTCTTCAACATCTGCACTGAAGCAGCAAAACCATCCAGTGCAATCTTCCATGAAAATGAATCGACAAGAAGAGACAGAGTGTCAAGGTGTGCCCAAATGACGAATATAAATATCATGGCTACAAAAATGACATTCTATTGACCTAGAAAGGTTTCTTGCTTTACAAATTAATGGCATCTTATCTTCATATCAATATCATGTACTAAGGCAGTGAAGAGCAGCAGACAGCAGACAATCAGAAGAAATTTTTCAACGTTAACTTGGAGCAAATATCTAAAGTATATAATGTTCATTCTGGGAAAATTAAGCCAGATGTTACATAGTCTAGAAATTTGCTGTGAAGCATGATACCATGCATTTTCAGAGTAAACAAACTGTTATCCGCAGAATAAAAAAACTCCTGCAGAAAAGTCATCTGGTATAAGTTGGCAAATTGATAACAATGAAGATCCAATACATTTGCCTGTCAATGGAGCTAACACCTTTATCTTTGAATCATTTCCACAATAAACTGTAGATGATGACTCTTTCCAGTGCTTCCTCTCAACAGTTTGAAATGATATATTTATAGACCAGCGTGGATGGTAACATCACTTGTAAGATTTTTGAAGGCAGGATGCCAGTTTCACATCTCATGATCTATGGCATAATAAATCATCACACTGCAGTCCCTGTCACACTTCAGGTGCCACATAGTCTATATGCAAACTATTGTGCTACTCTTTCATTTGATTGGTTTATATTTCAATTCTGTAAAGTCAGCTATGTACTGTGAGTGAAATGTAGTATGAAAGTAGAATGTGAATCCTTGAAGTGGCTCAAAAAAATTTCCAACATTCTTTAGACTACAAAAAAATCAGAACTTGATAGAGATTGGCCTGCCATTTTTCTTCCTTGCGGGCCAATAGCAAGAACACAAAATATGGTTTGTTAAGTAATAAAAAACATTTTTAAATCATGTTCTTCATAATATGAAATTTGCATGTATCTATAAAATTGTCTTATGTCTTTAAGTGTCTGTATTAACATTTTCTTTCCCTTGGATTCAGATTTTCTCAAAAGCTTTGGCTTCCACTCAGTGTTCTTGCCGGCACTATAATTCTGTTAGCTGAAATGAATTATCAACTTGTTCCTGCATACAAGTTGGATCTTGTTCAGCACGTAGAGTCTTCCAACGTGCATTAGTATGATTCTCTTTATGCAAAAACTGGGAAAGTTGCTATGTATCAAAATTTAGCAGGACATATGATCTTGGCATTGCTAAGCGAAACAAGTCAAAATACAGTAATCAATAGAGGAGGTGATAAAGACTGGCATTAGGGTTTCAGCAGCCATTGGACTGAGACAGGGCAAATGCAGGCACTGTACTGAAGGCAAGTACAGACAGATATAAGGGCAATCAATTCTATAAAATGAGGAGAAAGGAAACTGAAATTGAAACACCAACAGTAGTGAATCACTCAGTGCAGAAGCTGACACAGAATAGAAGGGAAACATTTCAGGGTAGAAAAGGAGGGGAAGACTTCGTAGATAGCAAGGATTTCAAAGAAGAAGTTAGGTGTATGGAACAAGATGAGATGCTTTAAAGAGGAGACTGGGTACTGTGAACATACTTTTGTGTACTTGAAGCTACATATACTAATACTAATATACTAATCTTGCTCTTTGTAGACAGAATAAACATGCACATGCACTGTACTTGTTTCAACCCAACAAAACAAGTGACAAATGTTTGCTGGCTAATTTCTTCCTGAGAGGGCATTGAGTTGGGAAGTTATGTTGCAGTTTTACAGGACATCGGTGAGGCCGTATTTGGAGTATTGTGTTCAGTTTTGGTCACCTTGCTTTGGGAAGAATGTTATTAAATTGGAAAGAGTGCAGAAGAAATTTACAAGGATGTTGTCAGGACTTAAGGGAGTTACAGGGAAAGGTTGGACAAGCTAGGACTTTTTTCTTTAAAGTGTAGGAGACTGAGGGGGAATCTTATAGATGTGTATAAGATCATGAGAGGCATGGATAGGGTAAATGCATTCAGTCTTTTCACCAGGGTTGGGGAATTGAGGACTAGAGGGCATTAGTTTATGGTAAGAGGGGAAAGAAGATTTGCGAACCTGAGGGGCAACTTTTTTACACAGAGGGTAGTACACCAATAGAATGAGCTGCCAGAAGAAGTGGTTGAGGCAGGTACATTAACAATATTTAAAAGGCATTTGGATGAATTCATGGATAGGAAAGGTTTAGAAGTATATGGGCCAAGTGCAGAGAAATGGGGTTACCATGGATGGACATTTTGGTTGGCATGGACCAGATTGGGCTGAATGGCCTGTCTCCGTGTTGTAGGACTCAATGACTATCAGATTCAACATACCTGGTTTAAAATTTAAACAAAACCTGGCAGTTAACTGTAAATTAACATCAATTAGTGCTTTATCAAAGGCAACATCTCTACTAACTTGCCAACCAATCAGCTCTCTTCTCTTACACAGTACAAACGTTGGTTTTCCCTTTGAATTGATATTCTTATGAATCATCCTGATGAGTGCAAGATGAAAGGCTTCAACAAAATGTGTCTTGTCTCAGCAATACTCAACCAATATGTTATTTAGTCAATTCTTCTGAAGTTTAAAATGTATCAAAGATTTTGACTATTAAATTTCTATATAAGAATCTGTTAGACAAACCTAAGTATGGTGGTCGTAGCTATGTCTTAAAGGTGATGTTCTTGCCTCTGAATCAGAAAGTTTGAGTTCGAGCCCCACTCGAGACTTGGAGGTGTTGTTTTTCTGATGAAACTTTAAACCAAGGCTCTACCTTCCCTCATAAGACAATGTAAAAATCCCACAACACTCTACCATTTCAAAGAAGGGTAAAGGAGTTTCATCTTGTGTGCCCTGGCCAATATTTATCCCTTAATCGACATCACTAAAACAGATTAGCTAATCATTATACTTTATTATTTGTGCAACCTTGCTACATGAAAATTGTCTGCCACATTTTCTACATTATAAGCATGATAAACATTACAGAAATGGAAGTTCTTTCTTTATTGATCTTAGGCTAAGTGAATTTCAACAAATGAATTTTGGGACATGTGAATTTCAGTTTGTGGTAAAACATTTAATTGCTTGAGCTACTAGATCACACCAGGCCAAGCCTTTCTTCAGCAAAATTGTGCAGCATTGTGAATTTGATGGACTACATCGATACAAACCGATACATGACATTTTATAATGATTTTACAAAACTTACTTGGCTCGAATGTTGGACATGTCATTGTTGCAGCTGAGAAGGAGTTTGCATTTTTCCAGTCTATCATCAGGTGAGCAAGCTTTGGGATTTATATCCTCAAGTTGACTACAAAATTCACTCAGATCTTTGCAAAGATCCAGGAACATGATCAGGATTCGCTTGTCTGTTGAATTGTTACAGTAATGGTCCAGGTAATTTTGAACCTGCATGAGAAAATAAAATAAACGCTATAATTAATCTAATGGTATCAGTTGATGATGGTAAAAGAAGGTAGGTTTGTCACTTTTCATGACTTGTCTCCAGATAATTTCAAGAATTTAAACAGTTATATTTGAAAAACTGAGATGTACACTTTTTGTAATAAAACTTCCTATCTTAAAGTGTTTTTCCTACTTTTCCCACAATCTGTCTATGGCTCATATTAAGCTTTGTCTTAAGTCACCAGAATGCTCTTTAGTCTCCATCCATATTGTTGTGAAACCCATTGACTACAGTTATACAAGAGTAGCAGAAACATCTGATGTCATGGATGGCAATAGAAATGAGACTGAGATTTAATTATCAATTAAGTAACAGTAAAGGTAACAGGTACTTAATAATTAATCATTTCCCAAAATGTATATGATTATAAACTGGCACAAGCTGAACAATCTAAACTGAAATTGGAAATATTTGCTGAATTTTGACCATGTGAAGTGTCAGGTATCACAGCCAAAGACATCTAAATTATCATGGATCTTTTGCAATGTAAGGTTTCTTTAGCTCTGGTTCAAAGAAGGAGGAAGATTTCCTCTGGTTGTTTGTGCTGTTGATCTGATAAATACTATTTTTACTATTTTCTACTGTCATCTGAAGTAATGCATTTTACTGCAATGCTGGAACAATGGTCAAAATAGACCTTCCTGCAATGCTGTTACTCATAAGAAGCAAACAGAATAAATCCAATGTGCTTTAAAACTGAATTGGCTACACTCATAATGCTGCAATATGCATCTTCTGAGTTCCCACGGCAGCCATTGCATTGACCTTCATAAATGAAACTGCCAATAATCTATTTATGATGGACCACAGGTATTGTTTTGGTCTAAGTTCTCTTCCTAATTAGCCCTAGTTACTTGTACAAAGAGGGCAATTTTATCTAATCATTCCAAATTTGACATCATCCAAACATGGGAAGACAATGTGCGTTGTCTAAAACAAACAAAAACAGAAATTGTTGGAGAAATTCAGCAGGTCTGGCAACATCTATGGAGAGAAAACAGGATTAACATTTCAAGTCCAGTGACCCCCTTCTTCTGCACTGGAGATTCGGAACCAATACCAATTCTGATTGGTGTAGAGTGCCTGCAACCAATTCTCCTTTCTAGATATTTTAATCAACCTGATCAGATATGTTCCAACACACCTCAGGAGCAGGTGAGAACTCAGGCCTCCTAGCTCAGAGGTCCCAACACTACCACTGCACCACAAGAGCCTCACATTTTGTTTTAATGTCAAGTGACCTGATTATAGATATTTTAATCAAGCTGTTTAGAAATGTTATCACACACCTCTGAATCAGGTAGGACTTGACTCAGGCCTTCTAGCCCAGATGTGGGGACACTACCACTGTGCCACAACATTCTCAAGTCCACCTTTTTACTCTTTTCTGAAGCCAACTTTAATAGTTTAAATAGACCCTGGTAGCAGAAACAAAGTCAAACATTTAGCAGAAAATTATAGAACTAGAATGGAATCTTATCAAAATAACATTATCTATGGTGATGATGCATGCCAGTCCCTGTGGTGCCCACTGGTCTCTAAGGGCCACTACTGTGCTGGTAAACACTTCATTCTCCCTCTCAATGGATGTGACCACAGAAGGGGGACAAACACTCAGGCTGTACAACTCCCCCAACTTTGGCCAGGCCCAAGAGCAAGCCCACAGGGAGGCCCTTTCAACTGCCAGCCCCCTTCTGCATGGGGTGTCTAATGATTAGGAATGTGAAGGCTCTTTTTCTGTATTTAATCAACTTGCTTGGATGTGTTATGATGTACATTGGGCACAGCTGAGATTTGAACCTGGATCTCCTAGCCCAGAGGTAGCAATACTACCATTACACCACAAGAGCCCTCAATGATACTTCTCCTAATCAATCCATTCAGAGATGTTATGCACTTCTGGAGCAGATGGGGCTCGAACCTCAGTTTCCTGGTTCAGAGTTAGGGACACCACTACTGCACCACAAGAGCCCCAGTTCTTTTTTTCTATGTACAGAAGTATACTGTACACACAACTGAACTTATTTTCCATCAACAAATCACCACGGTATTTATTTTTCCACTTATTAACCGCCACCAGAAAATCACCTGTGTTCGGTCCTCCTTTCTATGGTCAGTCTGGGAGCCTATCTAATTAGCAGTGGTAAAGGATAATCTGCCTTTAAGACTTAACCAGAAGAAGCACTTTTCTTAGACAACAAACTGGAGTTTATTGCAAGATAACAATAGGTACAAGTCACATTGACTAGAAAGGCATTATTACAAGGACTATCAGCAGCCCGAGATAACAGGTCTATCTCCATCAGGACCTTGAGCTAGACTGCTTTATCCAAACCTAAAACTATGCAACATCATTAGTTTGAATGGAACTTAATTCAGCTTTGACATTAACTCTTGCAGAACCATCATCTTGCAGAACCATTTGTCATCCTAATCTCTAATACTATTATTAAAACAAATGATTCAAAGGTTTTCTTTACTACAAGTGCAGTAACTAACAAACAACTGTGGTAAAATAAACATTAGGAAAAGCTGAGGATTGGGGTTTGTATATTTTATCATTGCATTGTGTCAGAATTGAAATGTTCATATTGTGAAACTTATGATACCATTTTCAACATGTTAAGCAATGGGAAACCAGATTAACTAAATTTACCAAAAGATCCCCCAATGAGAAAATTTTCAACAATATTTCTCTTTTTGATGATATTATGTCAACATGAATCATAAACAACATAAATCAAACATGATTTTGCTAGTAAAAAGTACTAATAAAAAAGTAAAAAAGTAAGTTTCACTTTAAATAGTTGATACATCAAAAATAGATTTAAAAATCTTAAGCATTCCCCTTCAGCAATTATAGCATTACATAGCTACACTGTTCCACATTATGCTATTCCTTATTCATGTAGAATAGGTTAATCATCCTATCTAACATCAGCTTTAGGCTCTGAGCTTCCTGCATATGATTATCATCAGCAAGGCACTCTTTCATGAACCCTCTTTCCTTCAGGTCATGACCAGTCTTGAGGTTGTAGCTTTCCCGAGTTTCTTTTCAATCAATTATATCCACCAATCAATTATATCCCTGTTCAATTTTTGATCACATCTGGGAAAACACAGAGCTCTTTACTGTCTTGCAGTTAATTACACAGGCTTTTCAAGCTTAAACCATTTTAGCCAGCTTGGGATTGCTTCCAAAAACTCTTATTTTGCTTGCTGCCAAATAGAAAAACTAACTTCTCAATGAGAATTATTTATTTCTTTACAGCATAAAACATATCTGTGTTCCTCTTTCTTGTCTGCTTGCATTTGTGTTTATGTACTTATCACCTTCAGATCCTCTGCTTGTAGCTGCCCTTTGTGTCCACCATCCACATGGCTTCATTCTTAACTTTCTTCCTGATGGTACTGCTTCCAGATCAAGGACTATAAGGTCACATGAGCCATTTTTTCTTATTTTGATCCCTTAAATATCCTTAAAAGCAATTAGAGATTCCATTGACCTTTTAAATAAATTATACATTTTCCTTAGTGTACAGTTTCTGGGTCAAAGATTGTATGTCATACATACAAACTAAGTAAATATGATACAGTGATAGGTTAATGAAGTTGTTGGGTTTTTTGGTACATTCATAACTGTGCTGATCATAGATATTGACCACTGCAAAATCAACTTGTATGCATTTTTCAGTAATATGAACGCTGTGCTTTTATGATTTTGTACTCAAAACTCTCATTAAGTGAACATGAGAACACCTGCATTAATTAAGTTATCTAGAATGATGAATATCTGGTTCATATTCCTTCATCCAGACTTTTCACTTCTTCCAGTCCTTCCTGAAATCATCCTTGTCATTCTCTGCATCTCCTAGTGTTTCAAGTAGACTTCCAAAAATAACGTACAATATTCCAAATGTAAACCTATCAATGAGGTACACAGGGTTAAAAAGAAACAATTTTACAGTTGTGAAATTAATTTATCCACTGGCTGATTGTCATGATATCTGATATATCACATTGGGGATTTTAGTTTCTATTTATATCAGAATTGTAAGTACTATACCCCAAATTTAAATGTAGAATAAATGCAAATCTAGATGGATTTTAATTTATTTTCAATTGTAACAAACTGTTAAAAAAAAGTTGTAGTTGTACAGCACTGATTTGAGCAAAGTCCTTTTCTATATCAGTAGCTATGGTGAAATGAACACCTTGTTACCTGTGAAAGAGTAGACACAGGCTTGGTCTTGTCGTGGGCGTTCTCACGTGTGTGGTCCAGAGCTGCAACAAATGTGAATTGTTGCTGTTTGAAGAGTAAATAGCGTTGTTCCAGATCTCGCAGAGTAGCCTTCAGCTCATTCATATCTTTATAGAAAGCAGTTAAAAGGTATTTGTTTGGATCCGATAGAAATTACTGAGCTAGCTCATTTATAATAAACTTTTACAGTTTTGGCCTTGTAATAAACACGAACCCGAAAGGGCCATGAACAGCGACACAAAATTCAAGACTTGAAAGTTGTAACTGTTTGCTCAGGAATCTCAGTTTTGCTCATAGATTAGAGCCAGAAATTCTCTGCAGAACTCACAATCCCGATTATTTTCTGTTGCTGCTGCAATAAAGTGATATTGCCTTTATTAATTTATACCTTGCACCATATTTAATTCAATAGATATAGGTGACTCCGTGATTTGGTTCACACGAATTATAATTTATGGAATGCATCTATGGAGAGTAACTACCGCCCCATTGCAGTGCAAACATGAAAGTGCTGAATAACAACAATGTTTGCATAATAATACGCCATATGATTGATTTCAGCTAAAAATCTTACACAGTTGATAATTCAAGATGTGGGGCTCTCGGACATGTAATATTTGTTGTACTATTTAAACAACATTCACTGTTTTTAAACAAATAATCTTGATTAAATGTCAGTGAAATACGATAACGTTAATGAAATACAGGTTGTTCTAAATGTATTGATCTGATAACTAATACAATGTAAATGTGCAATGAGGCATATACAAGATGTATGACCGCAACTATTTTACCAATGATGGTGATTAATAGTGAAATATTTACTTGGCGATAACCTACCTGAAACTTTGAAAAAATAGATCTCGGATTATACCAAATGATTTTTAAATTCGTTGCCTTTTTATGTGTTCCGGGTGGACGTTTTCCTCCTAGCCTGGTTAGTTTGTTAACTGGATACAATTTCAGCTGGCGCCATACTGTATGTAGTGACCATTGTTTAACTTCATTACCTAGCAACTGAACTAAATGCACGTAAGTCACGTTAACCTTCACTCGCGTATCAAATGTACGTATCACTATCAATCAAGGGGCCTCCTAAGGTGTTACTTGCAGTTAAATTCGATTATTCAATTGCGTCAATATAAAAAACGAATGTGGTAATAATTTTACTCATTTTATTTCTAATGGTACTCTGAATAAATATCTCTCATGACGTTGATGGTGAATTCTTGTTGATGATGATTCCTCCCTGCTCCCTCCTTAAATATCCTCTTTTGTATTTTATCTTGCTAGAGAGCATCGACTTGGATTTTGCTGTCAACTTTCACCATCATTACCCAAAGCAACACCAACTTTGCGAGTTCGGACATGAGCACAAGACTGCGGAAAGTGAATGGCAGTGAATGTACCATTCACAAACTTCGGCGTTCGCGGTCATTCCTCCATTGAGACCGACAGCAAGTTTGAGAGCTCAGAAAAAAAACGCGAACAATGTGAAAATCTAGAAGCTGCTGACAGTGAATTCAAGCTCCTCCATACGGTGCGCTGTTGAAATTCCCATAGTTTTGCTGTAAAAATCCTGGGGGATAACGAGACACCTTGCTTAACGAGGGGCGACTGGGTTGCTAGACATTAGCTTTCTCGGGACGGTCGACAACTCTATCCCCGTAAAATTCACCATCAACCCTTAAAAAAAACTTCACTCCAATTGTTCATATTTTCAAATATATCTTTCTAAGGTATTAAAATATGTTGCCATTTCACAGCGCCCATATTTCGAAACAAAAACAGAAGTTCCTGGAAAAGCTCAGCAGGTCTGGCTGCAACTGTGAAGAAAAATCAAGAGTTAGCCTTTTAGGTCCAGTGACCCTTCCTCAGAACAGAGCCCATATTTTGAAACCTCATTGTTAAAATCCTTCCAGTTTAACTTCTGACCATTTAGCCAAAAAAACATCACAAACCCATGAGGCTAAATAGTTTATTAATGCAATCAGACTCCCAACTTAAAATATTTCTACAAGGAGTATTAGAAAATCACAATCTTCCATTTGTTTGACCTTGGATTCTAGATTACATAATAAACTATGAATTCAAAATAAGTGGAATAGTGGACGGTGAAGAACATTACCTAAGAATACAACGGGATCATGATCAACAGGGCCAGTGGGCTGAGAAATGGAAATTTAATTTAGATAAATGCAAGGTGTTGCATTTAAGTAAAACAAACCAGGGCAGGACTTACAGAGTTAATGGTAGGGCCCTGGGGAGTGTTGTTGAACAGAGAGACCTAAAGGTACAGGTACATAATTCCTTGAGAATGGTGTTACAGGTAGTCAGGGCAGTGAAGAAGGCATTTGGCATGCTTGCCTTCATCGGTCAGAGCACTGAGTACATGAGTTGGGATGTCTTGTTACGGCCGTACAAGACATTAGTGAGGCCACATTTGGAGTACTATGTACAATTCTGGTCGCCCTGCCATAGGAAGGATGTTATTAAACTGGAAAGGCTGCAAAAAAATGATTTGTAAGGATGTTACTGAGACTGGAGTGTTTGAGTTATAAGAAGAAACTAGATAGACTGGGACTTTCTTCCCTGGAGTGTAGGAGATTGAGGAGTGACCCTACAGAGGTTTATAAAATCATGAGGGACACAGACAAGGTAAATAGCCAGGTCTATTCCCCAGGGTAGGGGAGTCCAAAACTGGAAGGCATAGGTTTAAGGTGAGAGGGGAATGATTTTTGGGACCCGAGGAGCAACTTTTTCACACAGAGGGTGGTGTGTGTATGGATCAAGTTGGCAGAGGAAGTGATAAAGTATAGAGTGGTAAAGAATATAATTACAGCATTTAAAAGACATTTGGACAGGTACATGGATAGGAAAGGTGTACAGGGATATGAGCTAAATACTGTCAAATGGGACTAGTTCAGTTTAGGAAACCTGGTCGGCATGGGCTGAAGGGTCTATTTCTGTGCTGTATGACTCTATGATTCTTTATACTACAACAGTATTCATGGGTATCAATGGATTGGAGAATTATCAGGGTTCTATAAAATAGGTGAGTCAGCCAAGTTAAAACCCAGCCAGTGAAATAGAAAATTACCTCCAATGAGTGTAAATGCTTTTAAAATTCTTGCAGTTAGATAATAATGGATGATCATCTGTTCTCCAAAGATGATTAGTTTACTTTGTTTGTAGAATTCCTGCAATAGCACTATCAAAATACAAAGCCTGTTTCCATCTCTGTAACATTGCCTGACTCCATCCTGACTTCTACTCACTTGCTGTTGAAATCCTCAGTCATGTTTTTTTCACTCTGGACTTGATTGGTCAAACCCACCCTGACCAGCTTTGCACATTCCACATATGAGGTCATCCAAACTCTGATGTCATGTCCTTATTTCACCAAGTCCTGTTCACCCATTGCCTTTGTACCTGATGATCCACACTGGCCCCTCATTTGGCAAAGCCTCAATTTTAAAATTCTCGTCCTTATTTTCAAAGCATTCCAGGACCTTGCCCTTCCCCTTCCGCATCCCTGTAACATTCTGCAGCCCCACAAGTCTGTAAGGAATCTGATACTTCTGTAATTCTAGCCTCCTGAACAGCCCAAATTTTAACTGCAGCACTGTTGGCAATTGTGCATTCTGTTGCCAAAATCAACGGTCTGGCCTCCTCTCCCTCCTCCTATATGGCTCTATTTAAAACATCTTTTTGAGTACACATTTTGTCCTAATATTGCCTTATGCCCTCTCCTTGTATCAAATTTTATCTTGTAACATCCTTTGTATTGTCTTAGGATGTTCTATGTTAAACGCACTAAGTAAACACAAGTTATTGTGTTGTTTGGTGAACTGAATAATGGGACAAAATAATAGAGTAAATGGCCATTTTATATTTCTTACATGATATGCAATGCAGATGACATCAAGCATTAACACAAAATGACTTGCACACCAATATTAATCCATGCTCCTAACAATAAAAGGAAAGAAAACAATATGACATATTAATGCTATTATTTCTTTTTTTGTTTAAGTTCCTTCTCCTTTCCTCTGAAACGCCAATTTTCACCAGTTCAGCATTTGATCTGGGCAGCAGCAGCTATGTCAAACGAGTTCTGTCATCTTCTCCACCAATGTTCACATCCATATGTTACAGCAAGGGTCGTTGATCAATGATTAGCAAAGGAAATCTGTTTGCTTGTTTGCTAATATTGATAACCTTCCCCTTGCATTGGGTCAAAATGCCTGAACTGCTGATCCTTATTAGTTAACAAAGTGACTTTTATACACTCGACCTCTACCCACAAGTGTTTTAAGCTCACAAAAAAACTATGCTTAGTCTTTAGCTGCCTACAACACATGGTATATCTTTCATCACAACTGTGGCTTGATTCTTGGTATTATATTACTCTGTGGTAGAAATATTTTAGCAGTGTGTTGTAATTCTTAGCCGAGTTTTCAAATTCTTCCATGTATTTCTCCCTACCAACTCCGAAGGTGGATGTCAATTTGAATAATGAAAGGCCTGATCAAGGAACACTTTCCCAGGTCTGCTGGCATTTGCCAGTAGCAGAGCAGTAACCTCACCCACCACCACACCATTTGGCAAAGCCATTAGCTACATGGAGGCAGCCTCCCAACAGCTTCCTGGAAAATGGCCATTGGAATGGGAGACTCTGCGAAGAGGCTGCTACTGTCAAATGTTGACTTGCATTGCCATCACTTCACCATTGCTTCGGGAGGTTTTTCTCGTCCAATCATTGGGGCTTGCTTGGCTCCGACATAAACAAAACAACTCTGCCAAACCTGAGAAGGTACTTTAAAATGCCTTGGGTTTTTCTGGCTGAATCGGCAACTTCCACTTCCAGTGGTGTCATTGTCAAGGCTGCAGCGCCACTGGTTCTCTGACTGAATTGGCATTGTGAAATACCTACCCAGCTTCGCCAATTGGTCAACTCCCCAAATAAAAAATTTCCTTCTCCTCTTAGAAATCTCTTCCTTGTTTTGTATTCCTTTAACTTTATAAAGTTATTGGGTGATCTAATTGAGGTGTTTAAAATGATAAAAGACTTTGATGAACATGGATACAGAAAAACTATTTCCTCTGATGGGAGAGTCAGAACAAAGGGACACCATCTTAAAATTAGAACTCATCCTTTCAGAAGTGAAATTGGAAAGCACTTTTTCTCACTGAGGGTACTAGAGATATGATCCTCATTTCATCAAAAGGCTATAAACTCTGGGAGAATTCAGTCCAGGTCTGAGGCATTCAATTCGAGCGACTCTACTCTATGCAGGAAATCCAGGTACGACCTTTGCAAGGTTATTAGAGATACCAAAAGACAATACTGAACTCAGCTTGAGACCCAGATCATCCACACCGACACCCATTGTTTGTTGTAAGGCTTACATGACATAATGGCCTACATGGCAAAGTCAAATAGAATCATGGGCAACAATGCATCCCTTCCCAATGAGCTCAATGTATTCCATGCTCACATTAAACAGAAGGTCAGTCTAACAATGTCACCTGTCCCAATAGCCTCAGATACACTTGTATCCATGGTCATCACCACAGATGTTAGACCGGCCTTCTTCAGAATGAACCCATGGAAAGTGACTGTCCCGGATGGAGTCCTGACCATGCACTCAGATCCTGTGTGGACCAACTGGTGGGAGTATTCAAAGACATCTTTAACCTTTGCCTACTTCGATCTGAAGTCCTTACCTGGTTCAAGAAGACCACCATCATCCAAAGAAAAATCATGCAGCAAGCCTCAATGACGATAGCCCGGTGGCTCTGACCTCGATAATTATGAAGTACTTTGAGAGATTAGTCATGGTTCACGTCAATTCTAGCCTTCCAGGTGGCCTTGATCCCTTGCAATTCACCTACCAGTGGAACAGGTCCACGGAAGATGCCATTTCCCTGGCCCTACACTCATCCCTGGAACATCTGGATAATAAGGAAACCTACAACAGGGTCCTATTTATTGACTGCAGCTCCACCTTCAACTCCATAATTTCAAAGAAAGTCATCTCCAAACTCTGAAACCTAGGTCTCAGCTCCCCCCTCTCTAACTGGACATTCAACTTCCTGACCAATAGGCCGCAATCAGTAAGAGTTGACCATAACACCTCCTCCATGAAATTCTCAACACTAGTGCCCACAAGGCCGCATATTCAGCCCCCTACTGTACTCCTTATACACTCATGACTGTGTGTCCAAATTCCACCCCAACACTATTTGCAAGTTTGCTGACGACACCACCGTTGTAGGTCAGATCTCAAACAATCATGAGACAGAGTACAGGAAAGAGAAGGAGTACTTAAAGGCATGGTGTAAAGACAACAATCACTTCAACATCAGCAAACTGAAGGAGCTAGTCATTGACTTCAGGAAGCAGAGTGGAGGGCACACCCCCATCTGCATCAATGGTGCTGAGGTGGAGATGACCGAAAGCGTCAAGTTCCTGGGAGTGATGATCACCAACAATCTGTCTTGGTCCACTCGCGTCGACGCGATGGTCAGGAAAGCACAAGAATGCCTCTTCTTCAGGAAGCAAAGGAAATTCAGCACGTCCACAAAGACTCTTACCAATTTTTATAGATGCAACAAAGAAAGCATCCTGTTGCATCACAGCATGGTATGGCAACTGCTCTTCCCAAGACCGCAAGAAACTACAGAGTCACGAGCACAGTCCAGTCATCATGCAAACCAGCCTTCCATCCATTGACTCCATCTATACTTCCTGCTGCCTCGGGAAAGCAGCCAACATAATCAAAGATCCCCTCCCACCCAGGCTATACTCTCTTCCACCCTCGTCCGTTGGACGGAAGATATAAAAGTTTGAATACACATACGAACAGATTTAAGAACAACTTCTTCTGTGCAGATTTTAAACAGACCTCTCAAATGTTAATGTTGATGTCTCTCACTGCTTCTACTCTGCAGCTGTAACACTGCATTTTGCACTATTTTCTGCTACCTGATGCACTTTTATGGTACAATCTGCCTTAGAGCACGCAAAACAGCACTTTTCACTGTATCTCGGTACATATGACAGCAATAAATCAAATCAAATCAAATTGAAACTTTCAAGACTGAGATTGATTCATTTTTGTTAGTTAAGGGTATTAAGGGAAATGAATCAAATGTAGATCAATAGCACTGTAATACATATCAGCCATAATCTAACTGAATGTTGGGCAGCATCAACAGCCTGAACTACTGTCTCTTTTTTAATGTGTTAATTATAACTTTCTAATTTCCCTCCATTAATTGTCAATGGAACATAGGATTTCATTCCTACCCAAAGTAACAGATGCCACAGAAACCCAAACTCTTTTTCTCTGGATCTACCAGACAACTTGTGGTGGTTTAACCTGAGGGAATTTTCATCACTCTACACCATAAACCAGCCAACTGAGCTAACCGATCCCTACACACAAATAAATGAGTACTGTTCATATGTATCACATAATTTGTATCATATTTTGAAGCAGAATTGCATTTATTTCATGGAAAAAAAACAAAGAACTGGAAATCTGAAACAAAAACAGAAAGTGCTGGAGAATTGCTGGAGAGTTAATATTTGTTTTCTCTGCTCAGATGTTGCCAGACCCGTTGAGTTTCCCCAGCAATTTCTGTTTTTGTTGCATTTGTTCATGACAATCCCAGTCAGAGGGCTGAACAGCACCATCTGGTGGTCCCATGGTATTTTCAGCAAAAGTTTGCTTGGTTTTATAATGTGTAAGACAATGATTTATTTCTTTAAGATGTTTCTCCCAGCTAACCTTTAACCTGATTTAAGTCTATTAGTACACAGCAAAAGCCTGAAGTGGGATAAGCATTAATTTGTTGCAGAAGTAGAGAATGAAGGATATGCACATAGAAACATGGGAATAAATTAGACCATATAACCCTTTGAGCCTAAAACCCTGTTCTGAAGAAGCATCACTGGACTCGAAATGTTAACTGTTTTCTCTCCACAGATGCTGTTAGTCATGCTGAGTTTCTTCAGCAATTTCTGTTTTTGTTTGTTTCAGATCTCCAGCATCTGCACTTCTTTGTTTTATGTTAACCCTTTGAGCCCCTTCTACCTCAGTGTATCTCAGAGCTCAGATCAGCACTAAGGGTGGCAACATCAGGACCTGGCACATTCCCTACCATTACCGTCATGCCAGGACCGACCTGGTAGACTAATTTTTCTTCCTTTGTCCAGTCTCTCTCAACCTACATTTGTGATTCTGCTGACGCTGTACACATTTCAACAATTTCTGACTTCCTGGCCCTGACTATTTCCTCTTCACTTTGGCTCAATGAATTATTTTCTACCTAATGTCAAAACATTTAACGTCATCATTCCCTTCATTGGAATTTCTTTTTGTTTGAACCTGTCCCTTTCCGTGAAAAGGGCTGTTGCTGCTGAAGACATCTCCCAGAATTTGGATGCATTTAGTGATCAGGAAGGAGGGGCATTTATAGTAAGTTGGAGATATCAACATTAAACAAGAATAAAAATTAATGATAATATTAAAACTGCAAAATAAAAATAACTTTTGAAAAAAAAGTCGTTACATCTTTAGAAGAAGACTCCCCAGGTCAGCTGGAGTACTCCAGTCACCAACAGCTCGGTATCCATAGCAACGATCAACGGTTTGCGCACTTTGAATCAGAAAATCTTCCATAAATCCTTAAGTCAATGAATGACGAGTTGTTTTTATCCGTTCGTTTGTCTTCACAGGTTGTCAGTGTAAATTAAATTTAAACACAAGACATCCACCCCATTTGTGTTCTGTTGCCTTGGTAACGGGGCCTTCCAAATCTGGCGTCCGCGCGAAGGAAAACAAACTTCGACTGTCCGGAAAACGGCGAAAACGGAGAACTCGCACCGCCTCGGAAGCCCCTGATGGAAGGATCCCGTCTTCGGATGGAAATTTAAAATAATTAGATTTCGAAGAAATGGACGCGACCAAAAAGCCGCTTCGGATTTCCCCGGAACTCGGGGTCTACGCGGAGAAACATGGAATATTTCAGATTCTGCAGGTGAACAGCGCCAAAGTTTGTCATTTACTGTTATTTTTAAGTCAATATATGCTTTTATTTGCCTTCTGTTAAAACGTTTTCCTTGTTTTGTTCGGGTAAGTTGGTTTTGTAGTGAACATCAAGAACCGTCGATTTCAAGTCTCATTCCTTTTTAGTTCAGTTCTATTTTGATTTAAGTCTCTTCTGAAATAAAGTAACTTACTGTGTTGAATGGATTGGCGAACTGCGCTTCTGTTTTGATCACCAATCTCATTCGTTTAACCGCCGTAGACATTTTTCAGGTCGGATCAATGACTGTCTAAGAGTCTAGTACTCCTTCGCACTTCAAATGTCAAAAGTAGGAGGGTAGAGGAAAGCTCATTCAGAAAGTAAGGAGGCATAGGATTCAGGGAAATTTGACTGTCTGGATACAAAACTGGCTGTCCAATAGAAGACAGAGGATGGTAGTAGATGGAAAGTACTCAGCCTGGAGCTCCGTGACCAGTGGTGTTGCCTAGGGATCTGTTCTGGGACTTCTGCTCTTTGTGATCTTTATAAATGACTTGGATGAGGAAGTTGGAGGGTGGGTTAGTAAGTTAGCCGATGACACGAAGGTTGGTGGAGTTGTGGACAGCGTGGAGGAATGTTGTAGGTTGCAGCGGGACATTGACAGGATGCAGAGCTGGGCAAAGAAGTGGCAGATGGAATTCAACCCAGAATAGTGTGAAGTGATTCATTTTGGAAGGTCGAATTTGAATGCAGAGTACAGGGTTAATAGCAGGATTCTCGGCAGTGTGGAGGAACAGAGGCATCTTGGGGTCCATGTCCATAGATCCCTCAAAGTTGCTACCCAAGTTGATAGGGTTGTAAAGAAGGCGTATGGTGTGTTGGCTTTCATTGGCAGGGGAATTGAATTTATGAGCTGCGAGGTTATGCTGCAGCTCTATAAACCACTGGTTAGACCACACTTGGAATATTGTGTTCAGTTCTGGTCACCTCATTATAGGAAAGATGTGGAAGCTTTAGAGAGGGTGCAGAGGAGATTTACCAGGATGCTGCCTAGACTGAAGGGCAGGTCTTATGAGGAAAAGTTGAGGAAGCTAGGGCTTTTTTCATTGGAGCGAAGAAGGATGAGAGGTGACTTGATAGAGGTGTAGAAGATGATGAGAGGCATTGATAGAGTGAATAGTCAGAGACTTTCCCAGGGCAGAAATGACTATGACGAGGGGGCATAATTTTAAGGTGATCGGAGGAAGGTATAGGGGAGATGTCAGAGGTAGGTTCTTTACACAGAGAGTGGTGGTTGTGTGGAATGCGCTACCGGCAGTGGTAGTGGAGTCAGATACTTTAGAAACTTTTAAGCAACTGTTGGGGATAGGCACTTGAATGATAGTAAAATGGAGGGTATGCAGGGTAATTTGATCTTAGTAGGATAATAAGTCGGCACAACATCGTGGGCCAAAGGGCATGTACTGTGCTGTACTGTTCTATGTTCTATTATTTTCTGCAGATTGCTTATGAAACTAAAATTTACAAACCCGCTTGTTTTGAGAAAACAGCGTTGCCATTAGCAGTTTCTGACTCAACCCATCAACTTCTAATCCTCAACCTAACCATTAACTCCCAACCCCAATCATTCACTCCCAATTCTCATCCTAACCATTGGCTCTCACACTTCAACCTTGCAATAAATTCTCAACTCTAATTCTAACCATTAATTCCTTTGTGATCCTTTGCCAGTAATTTCCAATCCCAACAACAAACTGTAAATTGCAATTGTTAATAAAGTGATATCGATATTCTCTGATTATTCTGTTCACGGTTGATATTATTCACCTCTGAAACAAATGGGACTTAAACCTGGGTATCTTGGTCTAAAGTTGCACCACAAGGATCCCAATAAGGTGATAGAGGGTCAGATGTTATGTCATTGGATGAAAGGTGTGAAATTCAGATTCGTAGCACCATTGGAGATGGCGAAATGGAAGCAGGAATGTGTTGCCAGTGACCTCTGTGTTTTCAGTGCAGCACACCCTGTCAAGGAGGGCATTTGTGAAAATACTCTGTCTGAACCTTTGAGACAGTTCCATTTATGGTTTTCCATAGAATCCCTACAGTGTGGAAACAGGGCCTTCGTCCCAACAAGTTCACACCGATCCTCAGAGCATCCCACCCAGACCCATTCCCCAAACTCATCTAATCTACACATCCCTAAACACTATGAGCAATTTAGCATGGCCAATCCACCTAGTCTGCACATCTTTGGACTGTGGGAGGAAACCAGAGCACCCAGAGGAAACCCACACAGACACGGGGACAATGTGCAAACTCTACACAGACAGTTGCCCAAGGGGGACATCAAACCCAGGACCCTGTTGCTGTGAGGCAGCAGTGATAACTACTGAGCCACCATGCCGTTTTTGTGTTATCCTACAGCTCCACCAATTCACCTAATGCCTACTTTCCAAATTTTTGGACCAAGCTGGTCCATTGGAGGAATTGCACACCAGTGCTAGCATTAAATGAAGCACCCATGATCAAATGTGTAGATAATTTTGAATAACTTCTGGTGTTGCAAAGACTCTGGATGTCCTTCAGCATGCTGCCAAATGGGGGTTCTCATCTGACTCACGTCAAATAGAAAATAAAAACAGAAAGAACTGTGGATGCTGTAAATTAGAAGCGAAAACATAAGTTGATGGAAAAACTCAGCAGGTCTGGCAGCATCTGTGAAGAGAAATCAGAGTTAATGGTTCAGGTCAGGTATAATTTGTTCTTGTTAACACCCAGGCAGAGAGTCAGTAGCAGAGTATTTCCATGTTATGTCAACTGATTTTCTGTAATTAAAATGCTCAAGATTATAATTTTGGGTGGAGTAAAAGATGCACAATGTATGGGAAAGTATGGCAAAAAATATGATTTAGGATTTTGAGAAGTTCCAATGAAGTATTCTATGCTTGAAAGAGGGAGTCAGCGCAACTGTTTTTGCTGTAGTTACAGTTCATTTAATCGTCATGTCTATGTTTAGAAGAAAACGTGGAATGGAAATGGTCTTTGAACCAATTAAATCTAACCAATCCACAGATTATTTTGTGGTGGAAGTGACAATGACCCATTATTGTATGATATTTTTCAAACATAACTGATCATATGATATCAAGGAATTTAGGAAATTGAAGTAGTGGATGAGATCATTTTATGTTAATATAAGAATTTTATTGTACAACAAAATAATAAATGTTTTATTTATAGAAATTTGATTGAAAAGGTAAATATACTGTATCCTTAAACCAAATAATTATCCGTGAATAACAAAACGATTATCTGAAGATTTTAGGAGGAAAGAGTTTGTTGTTGCAGTAGTCATGGACTGTGAAAGGAGTCAAATAGGTGTTCTGACAAATCTTGTTCCAAACTTTCAAATGTTATGCTTTCGGGGGCAGCAATTGATAGATACAGAGAAAGTATTTCATCTGATTGTGGAGGTAAAGATTAAGGGACATCGTCAAAAAATTAGGGCTGAACTTTTCAGGAATGAAATTAGGAAATACTGCATGAACAGACTGGTAGAAGTTCAAAACTCTGCTCTGTAAACAACAATTGATGTTAGATCAATTGGTAATTTCAAATGTTAGATTGATAGATTTTTATTAACCGAAGGCATTAAGGGATAAATGGTAAAGGCAGGTATGTAGAGTTTGGTCACAGATCAGCCATGATGGTAAAAAGCCCCAGTCCTGTTGCCACGCTTCTATGATTAAAGATTTAAACATCAATTAACAACAATTTTCGATGCCTGCCACTTAGGTCAACACATGCAATATCATTTCCAGTGAGGAAATAGGCTTCTCATGTTTAACAAAACAAATCAACAAAGGACATTATCTGTTGCTTCCATATCTGAGCGGAAATGTTTTCATTTGACAGCTCCCATGGCATTTCAAGTGTGAAATTAGCACTGGAAATCATAGATTTGATTACTGTCAATGTTTTTGTTTGTGAAATTTGGCTTGTAAAGTTTTGTTTATTTGACTCGTACATTAAAAATGATCTATATTTTCATATCTTAGCACATTTAATAATCAACATTTTCATTAATAAGTATCTCACAGAAATCTTTGTGGGATCAAATTTAGCTGAGTTCATAGTTATATGAAGCAGTTAATAAGATTTTTGCATTTCTGGCAGTTGGAGGTTGGCACGAGAGTACTTGAGACAATAAAACTAGAATGATTTAATACATAATTAGATGCTTTTGTAAGAAGATCATTACAGGGGTGGCCTTTAGGTAGGGAAGATGGACTGAAAGATTCTCTTTCTTAGAGTCTATCTTATGATCTTAGGACTGCAAGCATAATTAATTGAACCTATTTATTTCAAAATTGGTTTAATTTCAATCTTCTTTAGTTTGGCATTGTACTTTTATCCAATTCCTTCATAGTTATATATGTACTTACAAAACTAATAATACATAAATGAGGATTATCAGATGTAAGTGTAATCTCTTTAATTGTTTTCTTTCTTAATTCATTCTTTCAGAGAATGCTGCAGTGTCTGCTCGTGGATAAACCAAATGATCCCATTCAGTATATGATAGATCATCTTAAAAAAGAAAATGATGAAGGTGAGAAGGCTTTTTCACTTTGGTGGAAGTTTAGGTGCTTTGCTGAATTGTTTTTCAGGCTTTTCCAAAATTCTGGTGCAGCTGTATTCTGACAGCTGCAAGCTTCAGAAAGTTTTCTGAGAGAGGACACTAAAATTACTGGTTAATTGTTGTTTAGCATTCTAGATTTTTTTCAGATTAACCAGAGTTCAACCTCTGGATTGAAGACATCTTGAAATGTAACATGAAATCATTCCTTTCTAAATCATTATGTCAGTCCAGACTTCAACCGTACTTTGTTCTACCATCCAATGGCTCTAATTCTTTACATATTATTGAAAATGGTACTTACTCTGGGTTCTATAAATGTATTATTTTACGGGAAAACATTTATAAAAAGAATTGTTCTGCTTTATATTTGTATATACTTTTTAATTGTGTACTCTGGATTTATTATGTCAGTTTGTAAGAATTCTGACTGGTGCCTCTCAGTTCCATGAGTTTAGCCCATTGTGTCAAGATTCTTTATTACCAAAGGAATGAAAGATCATCAGGATTATGCTGGAATGTAGACTTCAAGTTAAAATCAGATCAACCATAATCTTATTGAATAGTGGAGCAGGCTCAAAGGGCCGAGTGGCCAACTTTTGTTCCCTATTCATATTTGTCTGCACAGGCTGTCTGAATAGCATTATGACTTAATGCCATTCTCCTACATTTTCCCTGAATATCGTTTCTATTTAAATAATCATTCAAAGTCCTTTGAATGCCTCAAATCCACCACATTTTTAGGCAGTGCATTCCAGTCCCTCGCTACTTACTGGGTGACAAAGCTTTTTCTCTTATCACATTTTAGTTTTTGCAAATTACTTTATACCTGTTTCATCTTGTTACTTATGCCCCCATTAATAATCCTCGGATACTGAATGCTTTATTAAATACTCATTGTACTTGTCCCACCACCTTTAGTGGCATGTGCACATATACATCTAGGTCCCTCTGGTCCTCAATACTCTTTGTGGTAGTGCCCCCTATTTTTTACTGTGTTTGTATGTTCTTGCCATAAGAATGTATCACTTTGCACTTCTCTGCATTTAACTCCATCTGCCACCTATCTGCTCATTTAACCAACTTGTCAATGTTCTTTGTAGGTTTACACCAACTTTTCACAGTTTTCAATGCTTCCAGCTCTTGTTTAATCCATACTTTGAAATAATCTCTTGCACAGTCTAGACCATTAAAATATATCAGGAAAAGCAAGGATTATGAAACTGACCCTTAAGGAACTCTGCCACAAACCTTCTTCCAGCTCAAACAATATCTATTCATCATTAATAGATATAGAGATCACCTGATGAAGGAGCCGTGCTCCGAAATTTTGTGATTTTAAATAAACCTGTTGGAGTATAACCTGGTATTGTGTGACTTCTGACTTTGTCAATCCCAGTCCAACACCAGTGTCTGTACATCATGTTAAATATTACTCTGTTTGCTATTTGGCATCCAATTTTCATAGAATCACTACAGTGTCAAAGCAGGCCATTTGGCCCACTGAGTCCACACCAACTCTCCCAAGAGCATCCCACCCAAACCCACCTTCTACCCTATTCTGCATTTCCCACCCTAGACACTATGGACAATTTAGCATGGCCAATCCACCTAACCTGCACATCTTTGGATTGTAGGAGGAAACCAGAGCACCTAGAGAGAACCACACAGACATGGGGACAATGTGAAAACTCCACACAGACAATCGCCCAAGGCTGGAATTGAACCTGGGTCCCTGACGCTGTAAGCAGCGGTGCGAGCCACTGAGCCACTGTGCTGTTTTGTGTCCATGCTGCTACTGTCTCATTAACCCCATGAGCTATAGTTTTTGCTCACATGCTTTTTGGTGCCACTGTATCAAATACCTTTTGAAATCCATCTACACCAAATGATCAGCATCACCTTTATCAACACTCTTCCTCTCTCTGACCCCTTCAAAAACTCCAGCAAGTTAGTTGAACGTGGATTTTCCATTAAGAAATTCATGCTGGCTTTCCCTAATTAACCCACATTTTTTCCATGTGACTGTTAATTCTATCCTGAACAGTTGTTTCATGAAGTTTCCCCAGTACTGAAGTTCAACTGACTTGTCTGTAATTGCTGGGCTTATCCTTACAGCCTTCTTTTGGACAAGCGTGTTATATTTGCAATTCTGCAGTCCTCTGGCATCACCCCTGAGTCCAGGAAACATTAAAAGATTTTTACCAGTGCCTTTGTGAGTTTCACTCGCACTTTCTTCAATATCCTTGGATGCACCTCATTCAGTCTTGGTGCCGTATTAATTTTAAGTGCTGGCAACCTATCTACTGTATTATTATCAATTTTAAACTCTCTATTGACTGAGTTTCTTTCTCAGTCATCATGCCCCTAGCAGAAATTCCTTCTTAGTAAATACAGATGCAAAATATCCATTTAACACCTTAGACATGCTCCTGGCCTCCATGCATAAATCCCTTTTTTGGTCTCTAATCAATCTTGCTAAGATAACAAGGTGTAGAGCTGGATGAACACAGCAGGCCAAGCAGCATCAGAGGAGCAGGAAAGCTGACGTTTCGGGTCTGGACCCTTCTTCAGAAATGGGGGAGGGGAAGGGGATTCTGAAATAAATAGGGAGAGAGGGGGAGGCGGATAGAAGATGGATAGAGGAGCAGATAGGTGGATAGGAGACAGACAGGTGAAAGAGGTGGGGATGGAGTCAGTAAAGGTGAGTGTAGGTGGGGAGTTAGGGAGGGGATAGGTCAGTCTAAGGAGGACAGACAGGTCAAGGAGGTGGGATGAGGCTGGTAGGTAGGAGGTGAGGGTGGGGCTTGAGGTGGAAGGAGTGGACGGACGGACAGGTTCAGGAGGCGGGGACGAGCTGGGCTGTTTTTGGCATGCAGTCGGGGGAGGGGAGATTTTGAAGCTTGTGAAGTCCACATCTTGCTCCTCTTTTTACCATTTTAATGTTATGTGCATGTAGAGGTCTTTTGAGATTCCCCTTTATATTGTTATCTGCTAATCTTTATTCATAATCCCTATTTTTCTACCTCCCTTCTGAAACTTCTGTATTCACCTTAGTTGTATTTTCAACCTGATACTTATTGTACGCAAACTTGTTCTTCATTATTTTAATCTCCATCTCCTTTCTAATCAAGCGAATTTTGTGTTTGTTTGCCCTACCTTTACCTTCTGAGGGAATATACCTCATTTGGGGGTTTTGATTCGAGGGTCTAAAATAATAATTTCAACACATGAAAATTTTGTTGTAACTGGGTGTAGTTTATTTATATATTTGCTTCAGATTGTGTTTCAGTGTCTTTATCTTGAAACTGATGGTGGTACTACTTGGATACCTATGCACAAGTGCTGAGATATTTGTATCATCGATAGCCATGGGTGAGGTGCCAGAAGACTACGGGTTGGCTAACGTGGTGCCATGATTTAAGAAAAATGGTAAGGAAAAACCAGGGAAATGTAGACAGGTGAGCCTGACGTCAGTGGTGAGCAAGTTGTTGGAGGGGATTCTGAGGGATAGGATTTACATGTATTTGGAAAGGCAAGATTGATTACGGATAGTCAGCATGGCTTTGCGCATGGGAAATTGTGTCTCAATAACTTGATTGAGTTTTTTGAAGAAGTGACAAAGAAAATTGTTGAAGGCAGAATGGTGAACATTGTCTATATGGACTTCAGCAAGGCGGTCGACAAGGTTCTGCATGGTAGTCTGGTTAGCAAGGTAAGGTCACATGGAATTCAGGGAGAGCTCACCATTTGGATACAAAATTGGCTGAAAGGTAGGAGACAGAGGGTGGTGGTGGAGGGTTGTTTTTTGGACTGGAAGCCTGTGACCAGCTGTGTGCTGTAATGATCAGTGCTGGGTCCACTGCTTTTTGTCATTTATATAAATGATTTGAATGAATATAGAAAGTTTGGTTAGTAAGTTGCAGATGACACCAAAATAGTTGGTGTAGTGCACAATGAAGAAGAGTATCTCAGACAACTACAAGACCTTGATCAGATGGGTCGAGTTGCCGCAGATAGAGTTTAATTTAGATAAATGTGAAGTATTGCATTTTGGTAAGGCAAATCAGGGAAGGACGAATCCAGTTAATGGTAAGGTCTTAGGGAGTGTTGTTGAACAGAGACCTAGGGGAGCAGGTGCATAGTTCCTTGAAAGTGGAGTTGCAGGTAGACAGGGTAGTGAGGAAGGCATTTGGTACACTTGCCTTTATTGGTCAATGCATTAAGTATTGGAGGTGGGAGGTTATGTTGTGGCCACTTCTGGAAGACTGCATTCAATTCTGGTCTCCCTGCTATAGGAAAAATGCTGTTAAACTTGAAAGTTTTCAGAGTTGGAGGTTTGAGCTACAGGAAGATGCTGAATAGGCTGGGGCTATTTTCTCTGGAGCATCGGAGACTGAGGGGTGACCTTATAGATGTTTATAAAATCATGAGGGGCATGGATGGTGTGAATAGTCAAGGTTATTTTCCCAGGGTAGAGGAGTCCAAAATTAGAGGGCATTCGTTTTAAGGTGAGAGGGGAAAGATTTAAAAGGAACCTAAGGGGCAACTTTTTCATGGAGAGGGTGGTGTGTGCATGGAATAAGCTGCCAGAGGAAGTGGTGGAGGCTGGTATAATTACAACATTTAAAAGGCATCTGGATGGATATTTCAGTACGAAGTGTTTAGAGGGCCAAATGCTGGCATATGGGACTAGATTAATTTAGGATATCTGGTCGGCATGGACAAGTTGGACTGAAGGGTTGTTCCCATGCTGTATAATTCTATGAGTCTATGTGTGGAACAGATGTGTACAAAATTAGTGTCTGTCTGAGAAATGTGGTTACAGTCTTGTCAGTTAGAAGTCTACAAGGGATGTAATCCAATTATAGAATGATTTCGTTCCCTTTTATTGAAAAAATATGACCTAGGGCAACTATAGCTTTTTTTTGTACGAAATAAACAATTACAATAGCCCAAGGCAGTGCTTCTCC